GGCGTTCTGCACACCCAGCCCTCTCGACTCTATGGTGGGCGGGGAGGGCCGGAAGGGGGCGTGACGAAAGCAGGAGGAAGCCGGAAGGGGCGTGGCAAATGCGGGCGGAAGCCGGAAGGGGCGTGGCAAAGGTGGGAGGAGGAAGCAGGAAGGGGCGTGGCGTGGCGGCCCTGGAGGTGGCGGTGAGCGCTGTTGGCGCGCGAGCGCGGGAGTTTGGGGCCTACAACGGGCGGGGCCTTACCGGGTGGGGGATGTGGGACCCCCATTCTCTTCCTCACCCCGAAATCACAACCGAGGGGACATGAGGTGGGGGAGGTTCGTGCTTTGGTCGAGGGGCCTGTTGTGCTCGCAGGGCCCGTTTCGGGGAAGGCAGGGCCCTGAGGGGGTGTGATGGGGGCAGTAAGGGCGCTGTGGTGACTCATTCCTCGCCGCAGAGCCCCTTCGGTGCGCTCTTCGCCTTGGAACATGTCGGAGGGAGTGGACCTGATTGATATCTACGCTGACGAAGAGTTTAACCAGGTGTGGAGCTTGGGAGGGGGAGGCAAACAGAAGGGGTCTGGGCAAAAAAAAAGTGGGTTTGGGGACACGCGTGTGGGGCTGAGATCGGCCCCGTGGGTCGGGGAATTCCCCTGGGACAGCTCTCACTGCAAAGAGTGGGCCCTGGAGGTCTAGGGGCCCCACTGGGACAGCTCTCAGAGTGAGGAAGCGGCCCCATAGGTCAGTGAGCTCCTCCTGGAATAGTTTCCACTGCTGTTCTCTGCTCAATTTACGGGTTTGGGGGCAATTTGGTGGTAGTGAGTATCCCTGGAGCTTGGGAGAAGTGGCTGGGGCGGGGACAAGCAGGCACACAAAGGTTGTAGGGCTGTAATTCCAGAATAGAAAATAACGGAGAAACTCTACAGCAGTTCTGTGGAATGCCAAAGTGAGAGCTGAAGAAAAAGAAGGGCTGCTGTGGACTGGGAGTTTTAGGAGCAAACCTGAGAGGAAAGTATGAGCCCAACCCATGGAAGGCATTGTGGAAAAGTGTAACTGCAGACAGTTTGGGGCGTGGGGCACAAAGGGTGCTGTAGCACAGCTGGATGGATGGAAACTTCAGGAATTGGAGGTGGTTGTGGATGGAGGAAAGATGGTGGCAGCGGGCAGCACTGCGTGTTCGGTGTTGCCTTACCAGGATCTTTGTAAAGGGGAACATCAAAACGCAAACAAACCCAGAGGTGCTCTGAGAGTTCCCATGTCACAGCAGCTCCTGAGTGATCCCTGCCCCAGCAATTATTCCTGTTCTCCAGAGCTCCCCCAAGCTGACCACACAAGCAGAAAGCTTCCAGGCCTTGTGGCAGGAGCGTGGGAGGCAGAGGAACTGGGGCTGTTTAGAGAATGAGGACAAAAATAACTCGCTCTTGGAATTTCTGTAACCTTTTTATCAGCCAAAGGAGCCTAATGCCAAGGTTATGGCCTTCTTTAGGAATGGTTGTCAAGGAGAGAGCATCAAAGGGGATATAGTTTTCGTACTGAACCTTAGGGCTTCCTGCTGGTGAAGAGTGGCATCTTCTGCACGGGGAGATGGAGCTGCTGTGGTCTCAGGGGTCAGAGAGTGGCTTTCTGGAGGGCTTGGAGAGGGGAGGGATCAGCTCTTGCAGCGCTGAGACAGATCTCTGGGTTTGTGCTGCCCAGGAGCTGGTGAGCTTCCTCAGTCACAGCTTCATCCTGCCAAAGGCTGAAGTACTGCAGAGAGCGCAAGGAGAAAGTTGGTGGCCTGAAAGAGAGTGCAATTGTGCTGGTGTAGCCAGGTGGTGGAACAGCCTGCGGGCAAGGCAGGAGGGATCTGGTACCTGCTGAAGGGAGTAGGAGGCTCAACCCTGAGGTGTTTGGTTTCTGCTTGTGCACTGATGAGACTGGAGTATAGGACAAGCTGGGTCTTGCCCAGTTGCTGAGGTCACAGCCGGCAAGCCAGCTGTGGAGACAGTGGAGGAGGTGGCCCTGGGGACAGCAGAAGCCTTTGGGATGTGACACTCCGCAAGGCTGAGAATTGACTTCTACTCGGAGGTGCTGGGAGTGTTTCAGTAGAACAGGGCAGTTCACGTAGCCCCCTGTGTGCCCTAACAACCCAGAGAGCCCTTCCTGAGCCAAAGGATCAACCCCGGCTTCCCCTTAACTATCTCTCCCCTGGCAGGATTCCGAATTCAGTAATGCTGACCAGATGGACCTGTATGATGACGTGCTGACTGCCAGCTCACAGCCCCCTGAAAGCCGCACCAGCAGCTTGGAGCCACCCCCTGAGATCCGCCAGGAGCCCCCCCCCAAACCCAACAGCAAAGCCCCTGCCATCCTGTATACCTACAGCGGGCTGCGTAACAAGAGGGCAGCTGTCTATGTGGGCAGCTTCTCCTGGGTGAGTGCTTTGGAGGCACAAACAAGTGAGGGTTCTTTGGAGATGTAGGGCTGCTTGGGGCAGTGGTTCTCCTTCCTCTGTGCTGAGCCAATACTCCAAGCTGGGCTTGGCCTAAGGGAAAAGAGACTTTTGTAGCCCTGAGAGGCCACAGAGCCGAGCCGAGCCAGCGGGAGGGCTGCCTTTGGGCATGGGGTGCTGGGGAGGGCTGTGGGAGCTGAACACAATCCCAGCCTCTGCCTTGCTGCCCCACAGTGGACAACCGACCAGCAGCTGATCCAGACCATCCGTTCAGTGGGTGTATATGATGTGGTGGAGCTGAAGTTTGCGGAGAACCGAGCCAATGGCCAGTCGAAAGGGTGAGAGCTGAGGGGTAAGGGAGTGTGGGAGAATAGAGTAGCCAGGTCCCTATAGCCATGTCCTGGGGGCAGTGAGGGGGCAGAGCTTTCCCCAGCTGGCACAGAGCAGGGAGGATGAAACACAAGCAGTCAACAGCACAAGCATTGGTCCCCAATGGGAGGGGGATTGATGGGGGCACGCAGCTCCATGCTGCTTGGTGTGGGTTCTCTTCCTGCCAGGGGGTAAAGGACTGGGAGCCTGCTGACCGCCAACCCTCCCTGCAGGTATGCGGAGGTGGTGGTGGCCTCTGAGAACTCGGTCCACAAGCTGCTGGAGCTCCTGCCTGGCAAAGTGCTCAATGGGGACAAGGTGGAGGTGAGGCTGGCCACCCGGCAGAACCTGTCCCAGTTCGAGGCTCAGGCTCGCAAACGTGAGTGGGGTGCAGGCACACCGCGGGCAGCTCCCTGGGCCCCACTGAGCTGTCAGGACAAGACCTTGGGGTGTGGGGGTAAACCACCAGCAGCCTCTGGGGTTATGTCCAATTGCTTCTGAGTCTGCTTAGATCCTGACCCGAGTCTTTATGATCCCCTTTTAGGTGCTCACTCACTGCGAAGATCCCTCGTAGCCTCCTCTTCCTCCTCTCCAAACTGAATGGGCTTAAGCTCTTCAGCCTACCAACATAGCTAAGACCCTCCATATCTATTAGTAGCTCTTCTCTGGATCTCCTCCAGAATTTGTCCATCCCTGCGGAGGTAAGGTGCCCATCACTGGACACAGTATTCCAGCTGGGGCCTGGCCGTGGGCTTTCTACAATGGCCATAGATGGTCCTAGCCTCACTCCGCAGCGATGTGACGCCCTGGCCCCGCGCTGGGGGGCTCTGCAGAGCCCGCAGGGACGGACTTGGCAGGAGCACGGACGAGGAGGTCTTGGCCAGCTGTGTTCATTGTAGACCCCATGACCCATTTCGTGCAAGGAAAGCCAATCTTTCTGAAGGCTTTGGCCAAGGTTCAGGGGGGTAGCTGCAACTATCGCACTCTTCCTTTGGCCCTGTTGCTGCTTGGCAGCACTGTTGGGCTGCATCCCTGCCCACCTTCATGGTTCAGTGGCCAGGGTTTGTGCACTTTCAGCCTTCCTGAGGGGTCTCGTAATGGCTCAGCAGCTTTCCCAGAGCTCTGTCCCCTCTTCTCTCCTTGCTCATCCTGAAAGCCTCATCCTCAATTCCTGCCCTTCTCTCCAGGGCAGTTTTTCCTTCCTACAGCTGTTGGCGCTTGGGTTCTGCCCCTGCATCCATGCTTGTGCTGCCTGCTTGAGCAGACTGCAGGCGCTTGGGGCTGTTTAATATCTTCAGGAAGCTGGGCTCTGGCCATCTCTCCCCATTTCTTTTCACCTCTGTCCGCGTCCCCACTCTCTCTGTGGCCACTGAAAGCAAGCGTCCCCAGGACGCTGTGCAGGTGGCCACAGGTGACCCTTTTGGAGAGGCATGTGTAAGTGGAGGCTACGTTTGGCTGGCTGGATCTGTCCCTGGGCACCTTGAACTTTCCTGAGGCTGAACCTCGCGCGTGTGTAGGGAAAAAGAGGAGGAGGTCACTGAGGGGCAGGCAGGACCTCTGGCCTCAGCTCACTGCCCTTCCCATGCCACTTGCAGGCGTGCCGCCGAGGGCCCACTCGCGGGACTCCTCTGACTCGCTGGATGGCCACGCCACACCAACGGAGAATGCACTGCCGCCCAGCCGCCTGGAGAAGCCCCCCTCCATCCTGCCCTTCTTCAACCGCTCCCCCGCTGCCCTGCCCCTCATGGGGCTGCCCCCACCACCCATGCCCCCTCTGCCGCCCCTCTCCTCCAGCTTTGGTGTCCCCCCCCCACCGCCCGGCATCCACTACCAGCACCTCATGCCCCCCCCACCCCGACTGCCCCCGCACCTGGCTGTGCCCCCTCCGGGCGCTGTCCCCCCGGCCCTGCACCTCAACCCAGCCTTCTTCCCCCCACCCAGTGCGGCCCTGGGGCCTCCACCAGATGCCTACGGCAAAGCTTTGACCTCCTACAACCACGGCAGGTGAGCGGAGGGCAGAGGGGGGCTCGGTGCCACCGGGGGGAGCTGCGCTGAGCCCTCCACCCTGTATCTGTGCAGCCGGGAGCTCGGTCCACCACCTGCCCCTGTGAGCGAGGTGGAGTTCGAGGAGATCATGAACAGGAACCGGGCCATCTCCAGCAGTGCCATTTCCAAAGCAGTGTCGGGTGCCAGTGCAGGTAATGGTGACTGTATCCCTGTGCCCCATTGTCCCCTCAGCCCTGAGCCTGCAGCTTGCTGCATCCCTCACCGTTCCTCTGCTCCCCACAGGTGATTACAGCGATGCCATCGAGACCCTCCTGACAGCCATTGCCGTCATCAAACAGTCCCGCGTTGCCAACGACGAGCGGTGCCGCGTCCTCCTCTCCTCCCTCAAAGACTGCCTGCATGGGATCGAAGCCAAGTCCTACAGCACAGGCTCCAGCAGCAGCTCCGCCAGGTACCCTGCCTCGAGGGGCTGCGTGGCTCCTTGGGGTCTTTGGAGGTGACCAAACGCTCTTCTTCCCCCCAGGAAAAGACACCGGTCTCGGGAGCGCTCTCCCAGCCGGTCCCGTGAAAGCAGTCGGCGGCACCGGGACCTCCTGCACAATGAGGATCGGCATGAGGATTATTTCCAGGAGCGGAACCGGGAGCATGAACGGCATCGGGACAGGGACAGAGAGAGGGACCGGCACCACTGAGACAGGTGAGTCCAGCAGCAGGGTGTCACTGCGCCGATGGCTGGGGACACACGGTGCTGCAGTGCTAACCTTGCTTCTCTTCTCTCTCATGCAGAAGTTTGTCAGTAAGTGGTTTTTAATGGACTCGTATCTCCTCACCTCAACCAGGACTGCGCCACCGAGGCTGCTTCACCCCTTGCCCACCACCCACGGCTCTTTCGGGGCACCCAAGGGACTCCCTGACACCTCGTGGCCTTGGGGCCTGAGCCCTCGCTCACACCCACTGCTACTGCTGCTTCCAGGGGAGATGCTGAAAGCCAGGGGGCCCTGCTCTGTGAATACTTGGACCCAAAGAGAAATGGTGCTTTATTTCCATGGAGGGAGGCTCGTGAGCCCTTTCCTTTCACAGCCCTCCAGGAGTGGCTGGAAGTGGATGGATCCTCGGGGACACAGGGGCTCAGAGGCATGCAGCTTTCCATTTCAGCTGGAAGAGAGCTGGGCTGGGGTCGCCCCCTTTGCCCCAACTTTCACAGCAGGATCACAGCCTCCATGTTCATCTCCCAGAACAGCAGCTCTGGCTGCCAGGAGTTGGTGGGGCCTCACACGAAGCCAGCCTCTCCCACAGAGCCTTCCTTGTTTTAGAGGAAGCAGAGGAGGCAGAGCTGCAAACCCAGGGACTGTGTGTCCCCTTCCCAGCTGCATTTCTGCGCATGGTAGTGCACTTGCAAGCTGGGACAGGTGGCAGGAACAAGGCCACGAGGTCCGTGTGCCCAGCGGGGCTGCACAGTGCTGTGCACAGCTGTTTCAAGGCCCAGGAGGAGCTCATAGCCCCATACAGGTCCCTCCATCTAAGGTTGTGCACTGGAGGAGCCCAATGGGTTCAGGCAAACTAAGGAGCCCCAAACCACAAGCCAGCCCCCGGGGATGCCAGTTGGGTGGCATCACCTTCAGAACTGTTGCTGGACAGGAGAAACCTGGCTCCACAGGTCTTTTTTAGGCTAAAGTCACACAAAAGAAAAATTCTGTCAAGTACCATTAGGTGCCTGCCAGCTTAGCAGGTGAATGCTGGGGGGAAGCATTTGGTGGGTGAGTTCTGTTTTTTTGTTTGTTTTTTTTTTTTTTTCTACTTAACGACACAAATTTATAGTTTCTTTCCAATTAGTGGGGGGAAAAGTGCAGAGCAAACCCCTATTAACCACCCGGCGAGGCGCTGCCCCTCCTGCCCGCAGTGACTAGGTTTGTTTGTCTTTCTGATAGGTTGGAAATTGTGTAATAAACTTGATGACATTGTCAGTCTTTTATATGGCATTTTTAGAGATTCTGTCGGGGACGTTTAGGGTGTGTGTTGTAGGGGAGTGCAGCCACATTTGAGGGATGGTCAGCAAGAGCCAAGCACCTACATGATCTCCCCACCCCTAGTCTTCCAGAGCTTCCCAAGAGCATCTGTGTGCCCCCCCAGATTAGCTCAGGGCAGGGGTTGGCACTGGTAAGGAGGTGCCTTAAGCCTCTGAGCACCCTATGCCCAGCCTACTGCCCTGGGGGATGCCACAGGCCGAGGCACCAGATAAAAATACATATTTATTGGAAAATAGTGATTTCTTCTGACAATGCTGTAAAAAAAAAATTCTCTGTACCTTGAACTGACCTGCGTGTCACAAGCCTCGGGGTCAGGTGGCAGCAGGGCCAGTGCTGCCTGGGAAGGCAGTAAGAAGCACCCCCCTGGCACTGCACACAGGTGCTGGCGTGGGTCTGGCTCACTGCCACAGGCTGGGAGATGTAGCCAGTGCCACCTGCTTGCTGTCATCTCATGTACCTGTGCTGCTGTGGTCCTCTGGTGCAGGGTCTCAGTACGCATCCGTGCTGTAGAGGACAGAGAAGGACATGTGAGGAGAGGCTCAACCACCAGAAGGCTGTGCTGCTGTTCAGTGAGACCTGGACAGGCTAAGATTTGGGTGGAGGGTGAACCTGATGAGGTTCAACGGGGCAAGTGTAGGGTCCTACACATGGGAAGGAATAACTGTGTATATCAGTGCAGGTTGAGGGTTGAGCTGCTGGAAAGAATCTGCAGAGAAAGATTTGGGTGTCTTTGTGGATAATGGGTTGGCCATGAACCAGCAGCGTGCCTTTGTGGCCAAGAATGCCAACAGTGTCCTAGTTGACCAACAGTTGTCCATACAATAGCAGTGTGCTCTCATGGCCAAGAAGCCCAACAGGAACCTGGGGTACATTGTGCAGAGTGTAGCCAGCAGAGCAAGCAAGGTTCTCCTCATCCTCTGCTCTGCCCTGGGGAGGCCACATCTGGAGCAATGGGACCAGTTCTGGTTTCCCTGGCTCTTAGTACATAGGAAACTGCTGGAGTGCTGAAAAGATGGCAGAGACCTGGAGCACCTCCCTTACAAGGAAAGGCTGAGAGCCCTGGGGCCGTTCTGCTTGGAGAAGGGAAGGCTGAAAGGGGATCTGATCAATGCTTATCAATATCTAAAGGGTAAGGATCAAGAGGATGGAGGTAAGCTCTTTTTAGAGGCGCCTAGTGGCAGGAACGAGGGGCAATAGGGAACCAACTGGAACACAGTAATTTCATTTGCACACGAGGAAGAACTTCTTGACTTTGAGGGTAAGTGGAACAAGCTGCCCAGAGAGGTGGTGGGGCCACCCACCTGGATGCTCTCCTTTGTAACGTACTCTAGAGAACCTTCATTAGGTTCGACAGGAGAACCTCCAGAGCTCCCTCCCCTCCTGTGCCACCTACCTGGAGAAGGAGGTGAGCGCCAGGCCACCCAGCAGCAGCTCCACGGCGTAGAAGAGCAGGAGGATGGTGCTGAGGATGGCCTCCAGGCGCAGGGCATAGGTCTGCAGCAGCAGGCAGTAGGTCGCCATGACAGCCGCTGGCACCGTGAGGGCCAGGCAGACGGCCAGAGGCACCTTGCGCTGGCACAGGTTGCCCTTGGAACCTGCGGGGCACAGGGCGAGCAGTGCAGTGTGACAAAGGGCACGGGGGGAGGGGGAAAAAGGGACAGGGCCTCACCGAAGAAGATGCGCGTGGTCTCAATGCCGAGGTAGAGCAGCAGCAGCAGCACGTCCAGCAGCAGGTTGGTGAGCGGGTACGGCAGCAGCAGCACTGCGGGCACGGCCACGCTCAGGGCTGGGCTCTGGGGGTGGAGGAGCGGGAGGGCGGGAGCTCACCCTTGTAGGCGAAGATGAACGCCTCCAGCAGGAAGTAGGTCGCGCTGTACCACCCGTTGAGGAAGAGCAGGACCTGCAGCGGGGCCGAGGAGCGCTGGCGGCCTGTAGGGGTCGTGGGATGGGATGGGCGAGGCCCCGCCGTCCGCCGCCCGGCTCACGTTTCGCCCCCGGCCCCGCCGCCTCCCGCTCCCGGCCCCACACTCACCCCTCGCCGCCATCTTCCATCTCCATGGGAACCGCCGCTGCCGGCGGGAAGCCGCCCGGCCGCTCTCTCTATGCCCTCTCTATGGCCTTGGAGGACCGAACGCCAGGTTCGAATCCTCAGTCCGCCCGCTTTGTTTTTCCCCCTTGTTGCGTCTGCAGAACCCCAGGGGGTGCTGCCCAGTGGGAATAACCCTGAATTTTGGAACACCGAGCAGGCCAAGGCTGCGCGACAGGCAAAGAGCAGGAGAGACCCCAGGACACACAGACTGGAAAATGTAGACAATTTATTTCCTTACTACTCACAAAAGGAGTGAATCCCACCAAATCCCACCAGGGGCTGCGACACCGGGATGGATCCTCCCTCCACGCAGCCACAAGCACCCTGCCAGCTCCCAGTGCAGAAGGTCTGATCACCACGAGGAAGAAGAGGAATATAGCTGGGCTGGGACCCTCCAGCCTCTGGGCTCCATCCCCCCAGGGTGAGGAGCTGCAGAGGGGGCAGCAAGCTGGAGTGGGGCCATCAACCACGGAAGTGAGCAAACTCCTTGCGCAGCCAGAGCGAGTCCTGGTAGAAGAGTGGGTCACCCAGGTGCACCGCAGTCCTCTTGTAGAAGTAGCAGTAGAGCACAGCCGCTGCGGGAGAAGGGAGGTGAGGGCACTAAGCTGTGGGGTGTCCCCCAGGCAGGTGACAGAGCTGTTCCTGCTGCCTCAGCAAGCATAAGCCCTTACCCAGCCGCTGGAAAACAAACAGTGTCTGCAGGCCTTCTGTCCAGATGAAGCGACTGGAATCCCTCCAGCGCAGGTTCTGACACAGACAGAAACAAGAAAGAACCTGTGGGCTAACTTGGGGCCACTGATGGTCCCAGTGGGATGGAGCTAGCCCCGCAAGGCCTGTTGTGCTCTTGGTGCCAGCTCCAAAGGTTAAGCAGCTCAGGGGATTTCGCCAGCAAGTCAGGACCTATTCTTGCTTCAGACTTTAGATCCCTGCAAATCCCCACCAATCTCCTGTCCAGACGGTGTGGGTACAACATCCCTGGGTCAGCTTCAGTCACAAACCTGGCCCTGGGCAGCGGGATGGGCCCTCTCCCTAAGCCCTGTTGAAGAGCATACAGGAAGCACCTGTTGGCTGCTTTGCTTGACAAATGGTGACTGTGGCACAGGATAGGGGAGCTGAATGGGGAAGGAAGGGGCACGAAGCTGCTTGGACACAGCAGGGACCATTAGGGCTTGTTTTCAGCAAGGAGGGGGCTGCCTCCAGCCTCTGAGTGCTGGTGTTTGCTGGGGATTAATCCCAGGTAAACAAAGCAGGAGCTGCTGTCCCCTGGCCTTCAGCAGGGACTACTCCAGTGTGGTGAGTTTCTGTGCAAGGCTTTCCCTGCGGATTTTCAAGCAGGTCACAGTGCTGAGGCTGGGGCTGAGATGAGGTAGCCCAATAGCTAGAACAAGTGGGAGATTATGGCCTTCCTCTCACAGGGGAAGAACAGAAGACAGTAGGGAGCTGTGAAGCCGGCAGCCCTGAGCCTACCATGATCCAGATGTGGAAGGAGATGCTGAGCGCCAGGTAGGCTGCCGACAGCAGGATGGTCCCCTTGAACTTGTGGAAGAGAAGGTTGACCAGTCCAGCTTGGAAGACAAAGGTATTGAAGAACATGAGGAAGATGATGATGACATTGAAGAGAATGGCAATGTCCTGGATGCTGTGGGAGAAGAGAGATGCAGTAAGAGAGAGGAGAGACTGGTGTGGGAGAGCCCAGACCTCCTACCCTGGTGCTCACATGAAGAGGACAAGCTGGACAGCAGGAGCTGTGCGGAGCAGCTCCGAGAAGGAATTGACAAACAGGTCGTAGAAAAGCAGCAGAAACTGCAGGAACAGCACCAAGCTGTAGTTGCTGGTCTGGAGCATCTTCCTTTGGTGGAGGCTTGAGCCTTCAGCCCCAGCATCCCTAGCGCTGCGGGCAGCTCATGGTACAGGGGTAGGAGCTCAGCATCGCCGCTCCCTACAGCTGGCACCTGAAGGAAGCAGAGTTTGGCTTGGTAGGGCTGGGCACAGCCAGCAAACCCAAAACAGAGTCAAAGCCATGACAAATCCCAACAGCATTTGGCACACTGCTGCCTCTGGCTTGAGGGCTGGAGCACGCCATGACCCAGCATTGCTGTCCACTGCCCCACCCCACCAGCGTGCTCCCGGCTTGGGGCGGCTCACACAGGAGGAGACAGGTGTGGGGACGAGAAGGGAGCCAGAGCCTTCCTTCCCATCTCTCACAGGTAAGGCACTGCCGTGAGCTGACGGGGGCCAGGAGAACGGGAACTGCCCGTATCGCTGCCACGAAGCTGAGAATCGCCCCCAAAACCCCAACCGCCCCCAAAACCCCACACCGCTCCCAGCCCGGCTCGCGGCCTGCCCTGCCCTCCCCACGGAGATGCCCAGGGGCGCTTCCCCGGGCCTTTTCCCGGCCACGGAGCCCCGCAATCTCGTCTCCATGCCACTCTCGGTACCGCTGTCCCCGCTTCGTCCACCTCCGGCCCTGACCGCGGCCCAATGCTCACCCACGGCCGCCATTCTCTATCTCCATGGGAACCGCAGACGGAAGCGGGGGCGGAAGCGCGAGGGGGCCGCTCTACCCACAGCTCTCGTTGGTCGCGTTGGCCTTCACCCCGGGAGCGACCGCACCACCACCGAGGCGGGCCGCTAGAGCGGCGCCGTCCAACATGGCGGCGCTCGCTGAGGGCGAAGGGGAGGTGGGGCCCAACGGGTCCCAGGAGGGATTGAGGTGCGGTTCCCCCCGACACGGAAGTATCTATTTCTGGGGACAGATGCAAATCCCCAGGCAAATAAGCGCGGCCCCGTGTCTGTCCGTCACCTCTTGGGGCTGTGGGGCTGCAGGTTTGGGACGCTGGGGCAGCTTTTGTCAACGCGGGAAACAGCTTTGGAGGTGCTGGGCCCAGATTTGGGGGTGCTGGAGGCACGTTCGGGGTTGTGGGGGCAGGTTTGGAGGGCTGGGGGTGGGATCTGAAGGTGCTGGGCGCCGGTCTGAGGGTGCTGAGGGCAGGTTGAGTGGTGCTGGAGGCAGTTTTTGAAGTGCTGAGGGTGGATTTAGAGGTGCTGGGAAGCAGTTTTGGGCTGCTGTAGGTGCTGCTGTCACAGGCGCTGGGGATCTGCAGAGAACGTTTCTTCCTGCCTGCCTTCCCCCCCTGGATGGGGCCATCCTCCCCACCGCAGCTGCTTCCCCTTTCGGGTGGCTCCTCCCCAGTGTGCCTGCATCCAACTGAACCGGTGCAGCAGGGAGCTTTCAGGGAGGCTGACAGCTTCTCTTTCCTCCCCAGGTCCCTGCACCTTGCTGCGGTGATGCCGGATCTGCCTTTCCTGCCTTTCTGCGCCTTCCTGGGGAGCCTGGGGCTGGGCTGCGTGGCCTTTGTCAGTGAGTGGTGCCAGCACTGGCACGGTGGCTTCGCCTGGGATGGCAGCGCTCGCATGTTCAACTGGCACCCGGTGCTGATGGTGACAGGCATGGTGGTGCTGTATGGAGCAGGTGAGCAGCGCGTGTGGGGTGGGGTGACGTCCCATTGTCACTCCCTGACACTGTCACCCACCAGCGGCTCTGGTGTATCGCCTACCCCCCACCTGGCGTGGCCCCAAGCTGCCCTGGAAGATGCTGCACAGCACGCTGGCACTGACAGCCTTCGTCCTTGCTGTGCTGGGACTGGTGGCTGTCTTCAACTTCCACAATGCAAGCGGAACGCCCAACATGTACTCGCTGCACAGCTGGCTGGGACTGGGCACCATACTGCTCTTCTCCTGCCAGGTGAGTGCACGCCCTGACCTCCCACATCCCTGCCCCTTGTGCCAACCCCTCCTCATCTCCCATCCCCACAGTGGGTGGCTGGCTTCAGTGCTTTCCTGCTGCCCTATGCACCCATCTGGCTCCGCACCCTCTACAAGCCCATCCACATCTTCTTCGGCTCCACCATCCTTATGCTCTCCATGGCCTCCTGTGTGTCAGGCATCAATGAGAAGCTCTTCTTCAGCCTGTGAGTGCTGGGGATTCGGGCTGTGTGTTGGCTTTCTGTGATTACGCTGGCATTGAGTGAAACTAAACGTGGACTCAGCTAAGGGAAGTGTGTGATTTCCCCCCGTACCAGGTGCAGTTCCTGGGTAATAGGTTATATGGGCTGAGAGGAAGGCTGGGCAGTTCAGGAAGGTCTTCTGGGAGGGTTTAACTCCAGATATCACCTCTAGCCATGCCACCACATACACTGGCCACTTGTAGCTGGTGTAGCATTCGTCTTGGGTCAGGGGATTGGGACAGCACCCTTGGGACAGGTGACCATCAGAGCAGTGTTATGGAGCCACCAGGGTAAGAGGGAGCCAGCCCACAGCCCCAGGGCATCATGTGAAATGAGCACTGTGATTCTCCTCTAAAGGAAGAATGGGACAGCGTCGGTGCCATACAAACTCCTTCCCCCCGAGGCCGTATTTGCAAACATTTTGGGTCTCCTCATCATCCTCTTTGGGGTGCTGGTGCTGTATGCCCTGGCCAAGCCCAGCTGGAAGCGCCCCGAGGCCGACTCCCTTGACACTCACCAGGTACTTGCCTTGCTTTGGGGCTGCTCCCAGTATGGCTTTGAGGAGCTGAGCTGGGGGTCTGCCCCTGTTCCCCACGGCCCCTGCTGGCTTATCTTCAGGGGGGGCGTGGCAGACAGCACGGGCTGAAGGTTCACATATATCTCCCTGCAGCCTCTGCTTGGTGCTGAGCACTGACACCTCTGAGGTCTCTCCCATTGCTGCCGGCCCCAGGCTCTGATCCTAGCTCTGATCCCCTATGCCTGGACTGCGATCTGTGCCAAAGCCCTGCAGTGCTATCCTGAGAGCTCTGTCAGGTCAAGAGCTGCTAGAGAAGCTCTCTGTGCCAAGGGACCTGGCCCAGGACAGGCTGCCCCAGCTCCGTCTCCTCTGCAGGAACAGCAGGAGCCTTTGCACCATGCCTTGCTTATTTGTGGGGATGCTTGTGCGGAGGTAGAACAAACCCAGCAGTCAAATGGACACCTAATAAACTGCTGGCTTCCTTCCTCAGTGCTCCTGTGCATCTTTTGGGGCTGCCCTGCCAGTTCCTCAGCCCTTAGGGCCACCATGTGTTCTCCACTTCATGCTGCAGACTTGGTTCCTGTTTTGTCTCTTGACTGGAGCCTCCTGCAGACCCCGTGCCTGCAGCCACATGAACCCCGTGGTTTCCCCCACCCAGCACCCAGCTGCGGGTCAGTGGCAAAGGCACGTGGATAGCCCAGCTGCTTCCTTCCCCATGGCTCTGTTTTGCATGGGGATGTGTCCCTGAAGGGCCAGTTGCCTCCCACACCCCAGATCCCACTATCCTGTCCCATCCTGTATGAGAATAGATGCTCTAGTGGGACCACAAAAGTTTATTGGGGGCATGCAGTGTGTGCCAACACCTCTCCCATCACCACCATGACCCTGGGAACCTGCAGGGGGATATAGCTCAGCCCTGCAATCCCTCCAGCACAGCTCGCAGCACAGCTGCTGCTGCCACAGCCCCGGGATCAGGCTGCAGCAGCTGGGCTGAGCTGATGTAGCTGGCTCTGCCTGCACCAGCTTCCATGTGCCGAGTAGACTCTGCTGCTGCCTCTGCACTCTGCTTGGAAACACGGGTGTGCTCAGCACATGGCTGGGACGCACAAGGCAGCCCCAGATGTCACCTGGGTGCCATCCATCCTAGGACTCCATTCCCATACCTCCACAGCAGAGGCCAGCACCGTAAGCAGGTCAGCTCCGGGGCTGCGTAGGGCACGCAGTGCCTGTGCTGCGGCACACAGTGCATCCAGCTGGGAGACACAGTGGGGGGATGAGCACTGGGACCCTCACCAGAGGCTCTGTCCCTCAGCACTGCAGCACTCACCATTGTCCTGTCACCTGGGGCTGCTCCTCCGTACCTGTGCAAGGAGCAGAGGGCTTGACAAGGCCCCACTCAGGGGATAGCAGGGGGTCCTGCTGCACTCACCGCTGCATGGCTTCGATGCCAGCATCGACAGCGTCGGCCCACACTGGGAGGTCGCTGCGGTTTTGCAGGGGGTGAGCTGCTGCTGTCAGGAACAGTCCATATAGCTGCCAGAACACATCAGTGCATGTGATGGGGGGATGGTGGGGGTCCTGAGACATGCCCCCTCCCTTCACTGGGGCTCACCACACCAGAGGAGCCACCCATCTTGTCCAGCAGGAGGTCGGCCAGAGCAGAGAAGAGATGGGCTGGGGATGGAGGCAGGGGCTGGGCACGCATCCATTCCTGGATGGCTGTGGGGTGGAGAGAAAGGGCTGGGGTACTCCCCACAGGGACCCCCAACTGCCCTGGGGGGTTCTGCCCTTCTTCGGGGCCAGCTGGTCTTCCCCCATGCCTGGAGTGAAGATAATTGTGGGGACCCAGCAAGGAGCAAATGGAGGGAACTGTGTCCTTGGAGGAGGTGCCCCAGCAGATGGCGCTTCCCAGGGCACCAGCACCCACCTCGGGCAGCTCGAGCATGCGTGTGGCCGCAGTCCCCATCACCTGCTGCACGGTCCAGCTCATTGAGCTTGTCCTGAAGGCCCAACAGGGTGCTGCACACTCGTGCCAGCACCTTCTGCGCTCGCTCCATGCCAGGCCCTGAGAAGAAGAGACATCAGCCCCCCCCCCCATCCTCAAAGTAGCTAGGGAAACTGAAACACGAGGAGGTGACAGCATCCTCTCTCACTCTACTGCTGCCCATACCTGTGCTGGGCACTTGCTTTGCTGTCTCAGTTCCCTCCTTTGGTGCTTCTACCTCTGGTCTCCGGCTCATGGCAGGTCCTGTGACCACATTAGGCCATGCCACGGCAGTGGTCTCAGCATCTGGAGCAGCAGGAGGGGAGAGTGAGTCCAACAGACCCACTTCAC